GCCCGTCGCCCCCGGGGCGCGCAGGGAAAGTCGCGGCGCGTTGCATTTGGGGCCTTAGCAGGTCTGTCGAAAGCGGGTTTCCTGCTGCAGAGCCGCGGGGCATGGGGGGAGGCGTTTCTGCGCCGCTGCGGCTGGGGAGGACGAGCCGCGGTTGGGGAGGATTTTGGAGCGTGCTTGCACATCAGGAAAACCTCTGAGCCCGGGTGGGGGGGTCCCCAGGCCCCTGCTGGGGGGGGATATGTGCAGCAGAGCGGCCTGGGGCAGGGGGGTGCATGCAGCGGGGGTGAGCTCTGTGCACCACCTTGGGGGGAGTCATGCATGGGATTGCCCCCCCACCCCGGGCGCCGAGGGGGAAGCATGCACTGCACTGCCCCATGGGCATCACCCCAGGCCCCGGACGGGTGCATGCACTGGAGTGCTCTGGGCCCTGGGGTGGGGGGTGCATGCAGCAGAGCGCCCGTGTACGCTGTCCCAGGGCTCAGGGGACTGCATGTACCAGAGCGCTCGGTGTGCACGGTCCTGGGCCCGGGGGGATGCATGCAGCAGAGCACCCCATGTGCACCACCCTAGGGGGATGCATGCACCAGAGTGCCTCGTGTGCACTGTCCTGGGCCCAGGGGGGGAATGCATGCACCCTAGTGCTGCATGTGCACCATCCTAGGGGGGATGCACCAGAGCACCCCCATGTACCAGAGCACCCCGTGTGCACGGTCCTGGGCCTGGGGCAATGCATGCACTGGATCATCCCGTGTGCACCACCCTAGGGGGGGTGTGTGCGGTGGAGCACCTCGTGTGCACTGTCCTGGGTCCAAGATGGGTGCATGCGGTGGAGCGCCCTGTGTGCACCATCCTAGGGGGGTACATGCACCAGAACGCCCTGTGTGCGCTGTCCCAGGACGGGGGTGATGTATGCACCAAGCGCCCCGTGTGCACTGTCCTGGGCCCAGGGGGGCAATGCATGCACCCTAGTGCATACACCATCCTAGGGGCTACATGTACCAGAGCACTCTGTGTGCCTGGTCCTGGTCCTGGGGCAATGCATGCACTGGAGCGCCCCGTGTGCACCCTCCTAGGGGGGTGCATGCACCAGAGTGCCTCATGCTCGGTCATGGGTCCAAGACGGGTGCATGCACCAGAGCGCCCTGTGCGCTCAGTCCTGGGCCCAGGGGGGTGATGCATGCAGCAGAGCACCCCGTGTGCACCACCCTAGGGGCTATATGCACCAGAGTGCTCCGTGTGCACAGTCCTGGGCCCGGGGGGCTGCATGCACTGGAGTGCACCCTAGGGAGGTACATGCACTGGAACGCCCTGTGTGCACTGTCCTAGGATGGGGGTGATGCATGCACCAGAGCACCCTGTGTGCACTGTCCTGGACCCAGGGGGGGCAATGCATGCACTGGAGCGCCCCGTGTACACCATCCTAAGGGGGCTGCATGTACCAGAGCACTCTGTGTGCACTGTCCTGGGTCCAAGATGGGTGCATGCACCAGAGCACCCTGTGTGCACCATCCTAGGGGCTGCATGTACCGGAGCGCCCTGTGTGCTGGGTCCTGGGCCCAGGGGGGTGATGCAGGCACTGGAGCGCCCTGGGTGCACCACCCTAGCGGGGTACATGCACCAGAGTGCCCCGTGTGCACAGTCCTGGGCCCGGGGGGCTGCATGCACTGGAGCGCTGCATGTGCACCATCCTAGGGGGGTACATGCACCAGAATGCCCTGTGTGCGCTGTCCTAGGACCGGGGTGATGCATGCACCAGAGCGCCCCGTGTGCACTGTCCTGGGCCTGGGGCAATGCATGCACTGGAGTGGTGCCCCCTGTGCACCATCCTAGGGGCTACATGTACCAGAGCGCCTCGTGCTCGGTCGTGGTCCCGGGGTGTTGCATGCACCGGAGCGGTGCATGTGCACCACCCTAGGGG